GCCGGCTGTACAAGCCTGTGGTGGCAGTGCTATGATCTGGGGTTGCTGCAGGTGGTCAGGTCTAGGTTCAGCAACAGGATATGCTCCAGGAATGAGGTCAGCTGACTACCTGAATGTACTGAATGACCAGGTTATTCCATCTTCCCTGATGGCATGACCATGTTCCAAGATGACAATGCCGGGATTCGTCGGGCTCAAACAGTGAAAGAGTGGTTCAAGGAACACGAGACATCATTTTCAAACATGGTTGTTGTAGGAGTGCAACAGATCATCATTAATTTGTGATCCATTCAGATCTCTCTTTACGGTTCAGCACGCACGTGGTTCACAGATCGGTCACATGGAAACGCTACCTGTTCAATCCAAAGGAGAAACGCACAGCAGTGGTCATGGCGGAGGAGAGGAGGAGCTTGGAAAAAACACCTGCGTCGTTTAGGTTGCATGTAACGGGAGCGTTTTGGCTCCCCTGTAAAATATAGTGATGCATGATATGAATTTTTTGGGCCAATACCGACATCCAATATTAAGATCACTGTTATGGCTGATAACCAATATTTGTCTATACCGATATACTGACATTAATGCTTCCAAAATAAGCAGATTTTGTATAGAATGAAAATTATTAAAGCTGAATTTGTTATTATACACACACACACACACACACACACACAATACCGATATTGATGCCGATATATTGTCCATCCCTACTAAAATACAATGATACAAATGACAAAAATTAACATGCGCCTCCAGTCTGACAGCACAGAGCCACACACATACCTCCGATCTCTGTGAAAGGAGGGAGGTGGTGGTGCATGAAACATGCCTAGGACATAGCAAATGTGGTAGGACCTGTAAATGTTGGGGACAAATCTGTAAAAAAAGGACAAAATAAAAATAAACAACACGTCAGGAAGGTGTGGAGATAAGTGAAAGCTGAACACAAAGGTAGAGCGTGTCTAGCTTGAGCAAGCCGTTTTAACATTTAATCAGCAATCGGGCCTCTCTGCAAGTCTTGCTTTTATAGCAAGTTGCAAATAGAGCAGAAAACGTTGCATTAAGTGTCAAATAAAGAGGGAGAGCAAAGCTGGTCTTTTCTTTACTTTTTCTTTCTGCTGATCCGAAAAACAAGCCGATCCGTGACTAAAAACAGTGACATGATGATCCGAACCGTGAGATTTTTGATCCGTCGCACCACTACATGGATGGGTCCAGACCTTGACCCCATTGAGAATCTTTGGGATGTGCTGGAGAAGGCTTTGTGCAGTGGTCAGACTCTACCATCATCAATGCAAGACCTGGTTGACACATTAATGCAACACTGGATGGAAATAAATTGAGTGACGTTGCAGAAGCTTATTGAAACAACGCCACAATGAATGTGTGCCGTGATCAAAGCTAAAAGCAGTCCAACGAAATACAGGGAGTGCAGAATTATTAGGCCAATGAGTATTTTGTCCACATCATCCTCTTCATGCATGTTGTCTTACTCCAAGCTGTATAGGCTCGAAAGCCGACTACCAATTAAGCGTATTAGGTGATGTGCATCTCTGTAATGAGAAGGGGTGTGGTCTAATGACATCAACACCTTATATCAGGTGTGCATAATTATTGGGCAACTTCCTTTCCTTTGGCAAAATGGGTCTAAAGAAGGACTTGACAGGGTCAGAAAAGTCAAAAATAGTGAGATATCTTGCAGAGGGATGCAGCAGTCTTAAAACTGCAAAGCTTCTGAAGCGTGATCATCGAACAATCAAGCGTTTCATTCAAAATAGTCAACAGGGTCGCAAGAAGCGTGTGGACAAACCAAGGTGCAAAATAACTGCCCATGAACTGAGATAAGTCAAGCGTGCAGCTGCCAAGATGCCACTTGCCACCAGTTTGGCCATATTTCAGAGCTGCAACATCACTGGAGTGCCCAAAAGCACGAGGTGTGCAATACTCCGAGACATGGCCAAGGTAAGAAAGGCTGAAAGACGACCACCACTGAACAAGACACACAAGCTGAAACGTCAAGACTGGGCCAAGAAATATCTGAAGACTGAATTTTCTAAGGTTTTATGGACTGATGAAATGAGAGTGAGTCTTGATGGGCCAGATGGATGGGCCCGTGGCTGGATTGGTAAAGGGCAGAGAGCTCCAGTCCCACTCAGACGCCAGCAAGGTGGAGGTGGAGTACTGGTTTGGGCTGGTATCAGCAAAGATGAGCTTGTGGGGCCTTTTTGGATTGAGGATGGAGTCGAGCTCAACTCCCAGTCCTACTGCCAGTTTCTGGAAGACACCTTCTTCAAGCAGTGGTACAGGAAGAAGTCTGCATCCTTCAAGAAAACCATGATTTTCATGCAGGACAATGCTCCATCACACGCGTCCAAGTACTTTACAGCGTAGCTGGCAAGAAATGGTTTAAAAGAAGAAAAACGAATGACATGGCCTCCTTGTTCACCTGATCTGAACCCCATTGAGAACCTGTGGTCCATCATCAAATGTGAGATTTACAAGGAGGGAAAACAGTACACCTCTCTGAACAATGTCTGGGAGGCTGTGGTTGCTGCTGCACGCAATGTTGATGGTGAACAGATCAAAACACTGACAGAATCCATGGATGGCAGGCTTTTGAGTGTCCTTGCAAAGAAAGGTGGCTATATTGGTCGCTGATTTGTTTTTGTATTGTTTTTGAATGTCAGAAATGTATATTTGGGAATGTGGAGATGTTACATTGGTTTCACTGGTGAAAATAAATAATTGAAATGGGTATATATTTGTTTTTTGTTAAGTTGCCTAATAATTATGCACAGTAATAGTCACCTGCACACACAGATATCCCCCTAAAATAGCTAAAACTAAAAACTACTTCCAAAAACATTCAGCTTTGATATTAATGAGTTTTTGGGTTCATTGAGAACATGGTTGTTGTTCAATAATAAAATTATTCCTCAAAAATACAACTTGCCTAATAATTCTGCACTCCCTGTATTATTGTGTGACCTTTTTATTGGTGGTACCTTTTACCTTTTTGTTTTGTTTTGGCCGGGCAGTGCATGACTGACATGGATAAAATCCACAATCACTATAAAGGAGTTAGTTCATGGTTGATGGTGGCCCCTGACACTAGGAAGTGTCTCCTCTTTACTCGTGACTGTTTTCATCAATGTAGTTGAACAACCTGACCAAACATCTGGCTCTATATTTCCTCTTTGCTGTAGGGACTTTTCTGATTGGTTAACCTGTTGGGTCCGTGTTCTCAGGTGGCAGTTGGCCATGTGGGAAGACCAGGTCAGCGTGGTCGACCTCCAAAGATCGCCGTTATCCCAGTAACAGCTGAGCAGCAGGTGAAGAGGAGACGGGACCGACTGCAGGAGGTAGCTTTTAGGAAGTTTAGATCCTTTAAGTGAGCCGTTTTTATGAATGTCTGATGTGTTTGTGTTTGCTTGCAGCTGGTGGAGCAGTGTGAGGCTGAGGAGTTAATGGATGTTGTTCTCCCTCGTTTGACCAAAGTGTTGAGTCTGTGGGAGCTGCTGCTGGCGAAGGTAGAACCAGCATAGAGGGGGGTAGTGGGAGATGGTTTACGAATGCTATTTTGAATTTACAGGAGACGTTAGTGAACACCAGCCCAGATTGTCATCAATAAACACAGCAAACCATAATTTACCTGCAGTTATTCAGTAGTGAAGCAAAACGTAACTTTCATGAGCAAAAAACCCCATAAAAATGATTAAATGAATCAGGAAAGCGGCAAGAAATGTTATTTCTGTTGTGTTTTCATCCCATTTAGCTTGTATTCTATTAAAAATACCTTCAGCTTTAATAATTTTATGAGAAATTTTGTTTTGAATTGTTTGGAAAAATAATCATAATAAAACAATTATTTGAAAGATTTTGTATTAAATGCCTTTTAAAGAATATTAAATGTTCTTTAAAAGTCATTCAATAGTTTTGGGAAGTATTTTTACATTTATGACAAAATTGCTGAACTTTATGAAAACACATTACTGCTTAGGCTCCAGGCAGGGCACGGAGTCAGGGACTTTACAGGAACAGGTTTGCTGCTCCTGTGTGCTCAAAGAGTAATGTCTGATTAGTTAATGAACAAAATGTTTTTGTTTAGTTTTATTTTCAAAATTTCATTATTTCCCTTGTAATTTCAAACAAATATTGTTGTATTGAAATCATTGAAATACAGAGGAATCAACTTGTGAATACAATGCATGTTAATATAGTAAAGCTTAGCATTTTTAACATAAGCATATTTACACATGGAAAGTATCAATGTGAATAAATCGTATGGCGGTAGCTCTTCTGTACTTTCATTGTGTAAAAGTAGCTCACAGGCCAACAAAGGTCTGAGACCCCTGAGTTAAAGACTGACAGTGTTTCTATGGCGGGCCGCCACGGCTGAAATCCCAGCGCCACGCCTATAAAATCCCAAGTTTTAATGATTTTTTTTTTTTGCGCCGTTTCTCGAAGAAGCAGCGGGAACTACTCTGTTGTTGCTCGTGATCACAGCCAGCAGGCAGCAAGGAGGAGGAGGCAGGGCAGGGTGGTTACAGCTAGGGATGAACCGGATACTCATTTCAGACGAGTATCCGGTACGGATAAAGCATTTTTGACGAATACAAACATGAAACGAGTAAACCTCGTAAATATCTGTAATCGTGCTGAAGGAAAATCCTTATTGGGTAACTGACTGTCTTCACGCTCTGTGATTGGCCAGTCACATAGAGCGCCCGCCCCTCCCTACACACAAAACTCTCTAGCCGGCCGGGAGCGCAGTAACGGATCTCGCTGTGATTGCTTCACTGTTGCTCACGTTTCTTCAGTTTTCCCTAGGTTTTCTTCAGCTCGCCTCTTTTTCGGTTGAATATTTAAAGTTACTTTTTTCGTAACTTACATGGTGCATTTGACAAGACAGAGCTGACGTGCTGCATCAGTCACTCACTACCTCCGCTCCGGTCGGGTTTTTAATTTTTTTTTTAACTCCATCTCTCTCCCTCTCACCCTCTCTATCTCTCTCAGACACACACACCTTAACCAACATTGTTTTGTTTAACTTTGTGTGGCAAAATGCCAAGAACGTTAAGAAAAAAATCAGTTTAATCAAATTAAAATAAAAAAATATACATAAAGTTGTGTCTGGTTCTAGCATTTCATATTTCCTAGTTCCTACTGCATGAGTTCAGATGTATTTATTCATGCACTTAAATATTAATGTTCTGATTTTATTGAAACACTTGTTCTGTAATAGTTTCTTTACTATTGTGATCAAAAATATTTAATCTCAAGTCTGAGGCTGCTCTGTAAATAGTTTTCAAATAAACAATACACATATCAACTTCTGATCATTCCATATCAATTTCAGACTTAAAATAATATATTGATGTAAACCACACCCACTTCCGGGTTATGCCACACCCATTCCGAGGACAGATACAGATAATTTAGTTGGTTTGACGGATACAGATACAGATAGTGGTGTACTCGCTCATCCGTAATCGTCACTAGTGGGGGTTTCAAAGGTCCAGGCCTGTCTCTGTAATATTTCTCTGCTTTTTGTGACATAAAGTTCTGTGAAGAAACTGAATCATAATCATTATTGAAGTTTCAGGGCTGTACGTTCACATTTTTAGCTTATACCACTGGTGCTACGACGGTCGTACGTTTCGTAGCACATAACAAAAGGTTGTAGCACTAGCATAAAAAATTTGTTACAATCTCTAAGACAACAGTAGTTCTTACAATTACTTAAACACACTGTCAAACACCAGTGCATATTTTTAAAACACAATAACAACCATTCCTGGTATTCCTGTTGAGTCTAACTCGCGTACTTGACAATAAAGCTGATTCTGAAATATCTTCAGACATTCTTGTCAGTGTAATTTCGAAAAGAACAAAAGCAAGTCGACGGGGCTAAAAAAGTTATTTTCTAATCTGCGTCACCACATAATCACCTCTCCTCTAGAGTAGCTGCTGCTTAACACATGATTTATGGTGGTTCTTTCCTCCTGGAGGAAGGATTTGAAGTTTGCTGAACTTACAGCCCTTTTCCCTGTTTTTTCCGTGTCCTAGACTTATTTTCACACAAAACCTAAAATAACGTTTCCCCCCATTCGAAAATAAGTGCTTTCTTGGTATCGAAATGCATATTTAAAATTCACGGACATCATACGTGAAACCCATGGCACATAACAAGTGGAAATAGAAAATAGCATTTTTAGTCCCATTGACTTGCATTAATTTTTCCGTTCCTCCGGGGACCCATGGTCCGGAAGTAGATGGGCGTGACTTAAGCTCCCTATCATATGTATTAAATTGTTCTTGTATAGTTTCCTCTTTTCCATCTGATATGTATAGTTAGGGTGTAACGGTACGCTAAAATAATATTCTGTTCGGTTCAGTGTTTTAAAGAATTTGGTTTGATACATTTTCAGTATATCATTATTTTATTTATTTATTTATTTAATAATATCTGAAGCGGCTTCGATTGAGAGCTGAACCACGTGTCATCACAGGCTGCTGATCTAGCATGATGTCTAATTATTTCACACTTAATTTGCGCAGCTATGAGTGTCACGTTCATACAGACAAGTGTTGTTTGACTGTTGATGCTCCGTGTTTTTATTTCTGCAGCAAGCCTTAAAAACTCCTCTCACACCGCCCAGAGTTTCTTCTTTAAAACTCGTATTAAATAACGAGCATCCTCCGCGCTGTATTTTTGTTGTAGGATGAAAACTTTACATCAATTGTCATGGGGAAAGTTCAGCAGACATGTGTGTTTACATTTTTGCCACTGTGTGCCTGCAGCGTCTCTACGGGCTCCAGCAGCAGTGACAGCCAGCTGGTTTGATCCGCTCTAAAAGGCGTTGATCAGAATTTGCAGATCACGTTTTTTAAACAGATCAGGCGCATGCAGCCATCATGCGTCACTCAATACAGCGTCCCTGCAGAAACTCTTCTAGGAACTTTTATGCGCTGCTCTTAAATCACACAAATAAAAATTCATTATTTAATGGAAAATTCATTGAAACAGTACGCAAGTGGACCGAACTGAAAACCCCCCCCCCCGTGAACCGTTACACCCCTAATAGTTAGATATTTTATGAAAAAAATGTAACTACATTTCAGTAACATTTTAGGTTTGTATTAATGTCACTCATTTTAGTCAAAAGAACATATATAAATACATTCACTATGATCAGTAGAGTTTAATGTACTTGGTACTGGAAATGCTAATGACAGTTAATTTCTAATACTAAAATGTAATGGTGACATATCTACAGGTTAGCAATAATCTGTTTTCTATTATGTTTGAAGATAGACACGTTTCTGAGTTAAATGCTACAGTGGCTTGCTGTATTTCTGCTGCAGCGTATGAAGCAGACTCAAATCAGCAGCCTGACAGCAGCATAGTGCTGCAGACAGCTAAGAATAAACAGGATGGTTGAGACTTTTTTTCCACTTGTAGAGTTTAGATTTTCTTAATTTCCCAGCCATTGTTTTTTTTTTCTTCGGAACCGCCCTTGATCGTGAGCCGACTAGCATTAGCTAATCTGCCCGTAGTTGCACTTTTCATCCCCAACTTGTGTCTTCGCTGGTTTCTCAGTTTTCCTCCACAGCACCTATTAGCACACTGTGCGCCAGTAAAAGGCATCTTCCTTACACAATAACAAGCAACTTACCTTGGTTCAATAAGGTTCTGAGGAAAAAAGTAACTTGAAAAGGTCTCGCACGAGTGCCACATTTAAAAATAGTTTATCACACAGAGAGTATTTTTCATTGCACGTGCGACATTTCTGTCGGGGTCCCCTCGCTGGAGTATGTCCAACACAAAGGGGGTCTACACGGTCCAGAACTTACAACTACAAGATTTTAGATGTTACTGTTTGAGTTACTACACCTACAAACTAAATTCGGCCAAGAAGCGGTTAATAATCATCTCTAATTGACACGTCAGACCTTTTGAGGTCTCCACCAGTTTTAGTTTTTACTTCTGGATTCGTGGTTGTTGCTTTGGAAGCATAAAAGCACAGAACTGGTACCGATCACGTCCTTGGACTCATGAATTGGATCACATTAGTTGTATTAGAAGTCCACTGTTCTTACACAACACCTTGTGTCCTCTGATTGTTGCAGGTGGAGTCCAAGAGTCCAGCTTGTACCAGTTTTCCAGACATTTACCACGAGTTTGAGTCCCTGCAGGCACAGGTCAGGCAGGCGGCCCAGGAGTACATCACAGGTCCACAGAGTGGAGCCAGACCTGTAGAGGTCCGGAACATCGAGGTAAGATCACATGCCCTGTCCCTGTTCTGCAGATTGAAAACAAACATCTGACTGGACTATCTTCTTCGCTGAATTCCTATCAGGTTGCTCGGTCCTTGGGGATCCTGGATGAAGTAAACAAGATGAAAGTGGTTCCTGGAGCGTCACCCGTCCCCAGTCTGACCAACAAGAACGTCCGATACATGGAGGTAAACATGTCTCCAGTAAAGTTCTGCGTCTGGCACTGGATGTAGCAGAAACAGGAAATCAGAGCTGGAAGGTCATTCAGCTTTTAACATCTGTCAAACATCAGTGAAACAGATTAGGACCATATTTTATCATCACACAACCTAAAACAGAGGCAAAGCAGCTCAGATCAGTATTCTGCTACACCCAGTTAGTCTGTCTGTGTCTAAAAGCTGTTGGCTGACTGAGTTACTGTTGGATGGCAGCTAGAGTATAACATTGGGAGAAGATAACAGTTTACCAGGTAACCTGGAATAACTGAGCAACTTTCCCCAAATATCATTTTCACATTGGTTCAAATTAGGGCTGCAGCTATCGAATATTTTTGTAATCGAGTACTCTATCGAATCTTTTATCGATTAATCGAGTACTCTAATAAATTACTCTTTTGCGTTTGTAAACCCTTATATCAAATAGCATGTTATAAAATATGAAAGACCTCTTGAAATGAGCAAGCAATTGCTAGTTATTCTTCAAGTTTTATTCAGAATTAGTTTTCAAAACTTCAGCACTTCAACTTTACTTCACAGTAAACAAATGCGAGCGGCTGCGGCCCAAACAGCACCAGAACCGCTCACGGCGCATGCGCAAACATGGCTCGCCAGCTGTTTCCCTATTAACACACGTCCGTTTTAATTTCTACACTTTTTTTTCTCACACTAACAAGGATTGTCGAAAGCATGTTTGCCGTGGTTATGTCAAATGGTAAATGGCTGTATTTGATATAGCGCCTTCTAGAGTCCTAGAACCCCCCAAGGCGCTTTACAACACAATCAGTCATTCACACATTCACACACTGGTGGGGATGAGCTACGATGTAGCCACAGCTGCCCTGGGGCGCACTGACAGAGGCGAGGCTGCCGAGCACTGGCGCCACCGGTCCCTCCGACCACCACCAGCAGGCAAGGTGGGTTAAGTGTCTTGCCCAAGGACACAACGACAGCGACAGACTGAGCGGGGCTCGAACCTGCAACCTTCCGATTACGGGGCGAGCACTTAACTCCTGTGCCACCGTCGCCCCAAATTATACTGATCACAAAACATTTATTTACTTTCTTTCGTTTTCCTCCGCCACTCATAAATACCCGTGTCTTCCTGCAGCAATCCCGGGGGACAACAGACATCAATAACACAATAAAAAGTCCGACGTGTTGTAAAAACTGCTATTTTTAGCACATTTTAAGTCCGACGTGTTGCTACCAGATGTACGGTGTGAGCTGAAACTGAGAGCTACAAACGAAAAAGTCGCACAGTGTCCGCAGAATATATAGAAATACAGGCTAAAATGCATTATCTTGTAGAAACTCCGAGTCTGCTTGCAGAAGAGACGTTTACAGGTGCTGCAGCACGGAGGATGTGGTGTTGTGGTAGGCTAAATCCATTTTACAGTATTTACACTGGAGTACATTTTCCGCCTTACAACGTGAAAAATGGTCCCACACCTTTGACATTTTCTGTCTTTTTCGCACTCCACCGGGGTCCACGTTGTCCGCCATGGCTTAAAAGAAAGTTAAGTTGCGTTCGCTACTCGCGTGTGCATTCAGCCCAGTGGGCATGTGCGTCACTTATTTCAGTCCGGGTGAAACATGACCCCGGGCGATTGCAAAGCCATGAATTAATTAAACATGAAATAAACGAAGCCTCGAGGCAGAGAATTTGACTTCAGGATTTTTTGTACTCGAATTATTTGAGGTACTCGAGGAATCGTTTCAGCCCTAGTTCAAATAAAAACAACAAGGTAATAATCTTGAACAGAAGCACACTAATCCATTCAGCATTTATAGATGGAATGGGAGGACCTGGATGTAAACCATCATTTATTGTCTTTCTTCCTGTGCTGTTGTTGTTTTAGAACTCCAAGATGTTACCGCCATCAAAGCGATTTAAGATGGAAAACAGCATCACCGACGAACAGAAAGGCTCCGCGCCGCTAACAACAGGTACTGGTTGGATTAGGACGGATGCTTTGGTTGGTCGTGAGGCTCCTGCAAGCAGCTATAAATAGACCCAGGATTGTCAGCTGGGTGAAGAGTACAGCTGAGGGTGGTCTATTCAATTCAGTTCAATTCAAGTTTATTTATATAGCGCCAAATCACGACAAGAGTCGTCTCAAGGCACTTCACATAATAAACATTCCAATACAGGTCAGTTCATTAAGCCAATCAGAAATAATGTTTCCTATATAAGGAACCCAGCAAATTGCATCAAGTCACTGACTAGTGTCAGTGACTTTACAGCAATCCTCATACTAAGCAAGCATAAAGCGACAGTGGAGAGGAAAACTCCCTTTTAACAGGAAGAAACCTCCAGAGAATCCTGGCTCAGTATAAGCAGCCATCCTCCACGACTCACTGGGGATCGAGAAGACAGAGCAGGCACACACACACACGCGCGCGCACACACACACACAGACAAAGACAAAGTAATGTGTCTATAGTTACAATGTTATTTCTTAGTAAATATTCTATTTGGCGAGAGATAAACTTTATTGTATTTATCCTAGTGAATCTATAATTAAACGGGTAAACTAGCAGGAGCACATCCAACGTCAATGAAAACAAAAAGTTATTATCAGGAGAGAGAGAATGTATTAGTGGTTAGCAGCAGTGTGCTAGACGATGGCCCCCTCCATGAGGCCACCACAGCTCAGCAGAACATCATTGTAGCTTCTTCTGGGGAGAAAAACACTTAGAGAGAAAATAAAGTTAACAGCTGAAATAGCACAAAATAGTACAGTTAAAGAGCAGATTGTAGAAGAAAGCAGTAGTGTGTGAAAAGTGGTCAGTGTGTCCTCCAGCAGTCTAAGCCTATAGCAGCATAACTAAAGAGATAACTCTGGATAATCTATCCTATTTAGATGGAGACATGTTGGAGGCAGGGCAAGGGAGAGCCGTCTTTACCGACTGTACACTCCACCTCCCTCTACTCCCCCACTTGTCCAGATTTAGGCTAACATCAGATTTTAACCATAGGCCCTATCAAATAAAAATGTTTTAAGCCTAGTCTTAAAAGTAGACAAGGTGTCTGACTCACGGACTAAAGCTGGGAGCTGGTTCCACAGGAGAGGAGCCTGATAACTAAAAGATCTGCCTCCCATCCTAATTTTAGATATTCTGGGAACCACCAGTAAAGAGTCTAGAACAGGGGTTCTCAGTCCTGGTCCTGTAGGGCTGGTATTCAGCATGTTTTAGTTGTTTATCTGCTTCAGCAATCCAGATATAATCCGCAGGTGATCAACGGGCTTCTGCAGAGCCTGACGGGCTGCTGAACAGGTGGTTTAACCAGTCAATTGTGTGTCTTGGAGCAGAGAAACCACTAAAATGTGCTGGATACCGGCCCTTTAGAACCCCTGGTCTAGGACTTCTGTTTAGTTTCTGGGTCAACTTCTCAGACCACCAAACTGCAGATAACACAAAGACTAACTGAGAACAGATGAAAACAGTTTGTGACTAAACTGTATCAAGGAAACAAAAGCTGTAATTTAGTCAGTTTTCTATCATTTGCTGCTTTTGTGTTTTAGTCTCTGTGACATCAGCCACTCCAGGAAATGCTCCTCTGAAGCCCTGCTTGGTCTCCGTGTCTCCTCTGGTGATTCCAGGTGGATCTAAACTACACACCACCTCCGCTGACCTCTCCTCCAGGTGAGCTGGCCCTACCCTGTGTGTGTTTGGGTTGTTCAGACCTGCTGCTAACGTGAAGAGCTACATGTGGCGACCCGTGTTAGCAGCAGGTGAGAGCTCCTACGTCTCACTGACTGCATTACAGAACAGGTCCATTGATCGGTTTATCTTCTGATTTGGCTAAAGGGAGATTCCACTGAACTCTGGCGGATCAGGGCCAAGTCTGGGCCGCCTATTGGGTACCACTGGTCTAGAGATTGTTTTCTAGTGTAAAATAATCCAGTCTAGCTTTGATTAGATGGGGTTCTTCTATGTCACTGACCCAGACTTGGAGCTAGACTCTGCTAACCCTGGTTAGGGACCTGTATGCTGGTCTGGTCTGACATACTGGGACCTGAATCTGTTTCTTCTGGTTTCCAGCCTCTCTGGTGCTCCCTCTGCTCCAGCCACCTCCAACCCGGTTCCAGTTCCTGTCGTCCCAACAGAGGTGCATAAAGAAGAGTTTATGGATGCGGTTCATGACGTCCCAGTCCAGATGACAGGGCTAGAGACGTCTCCTTGTTCCAGTTCTAAGACAAACACAGCAGAGTCAAGTTTAGGCCAGACCACTGGTTCTGTTGAGCAACAGCAAAGTGACTCTCCAGAATCTGGATCCAACACAACAGAACCTTCTGAGGCCAAAGAGCTGCAGGAGGGCCAGGAGATCTACATTGAGACTGAGCAGCTAACAGTCCAGCTGGCTGAACCAGGATCAGATGGGATTGTTATCGTCAACGGACCAGACGGGACAACCATGCACATCCAGACACCAGAGGGCGTCCCACTGGAGGCAGTCCAGGCCATGCTGGGCATCGAGACTTCAAATGGAGACAGACCTCCCCAGTAAACCGGCTCTAGGGGATCAGAACTGGACCAGCAGCAGGGTGTGGCCACATACCCACCTGTCAGTTTGTCTCCTCCAATCAGAACTCTAGAAACATCAAAGGGGGGGCTTTCCACCTGGAACTGGTTCTGTCTTGTGAGTTTGGACCAACATGTATGATGGCTCCCAACAGGTGTGAGTTGGCCCTGCCCACATTAATGTTCACATCTTTGGCATTCTTCATTAAATCTGGGTTGAGATATTCTGTTCCGCTGTCACAATATAAATATAAAACTTTGTATTATTATTTTTATTCAATGTTTTTCTTCTGCAAGTGAGTACAAATGGGAAAGGATCCTCAGAATCCCCCAAGTGGACTCTTTAGGTTTACTTCAACAGGATAAAATGGGAACCTGGATCACCTCCAGAGGACAGAAGCTCTTCCTGCTGCCTGACGGGCTCCAGTGAAAAATAAAAACAGATTTTTATCAGAAAACAAACACACGCACTTGTTGAGTTTTTAACAAACTGTTTGGATTTCTATAATCTTTTCAGGGCCAAGTGTTTTCTATTGAATCTATTATTTATTCACCCTTTCATCTGGTGGTGAACTACATGGTAGCCACAGGTGTCCTGGGCCCGGCTGCTACTTTCTCACCACCAGCACTTACACACAAGCACGGCAAGTTAGGTGTCCTGCTCAAGGACACAACGGCAGAGTAAGCTAGGTTTGTTTCTGTAAACTGACTGGGTTCCAACTGGACTCAGAACCTCCAGAAACGCCCCAGAGAAGCGCCGCTGTACAGAACCCGATCACGTTCTGATACCTGGTTCCTTTGTGTAATCGGATCAGAACACTGGCCCGTTTCAGCCGTGACCAGTGAGAGAACGGGGCTGTGTGAAATCAAACTGTCACGTGGGCCCAGCTCGTGTGGTGTGTTTACCTGTCAGCTGTGATGATGTCATCAGCAGCCTCTGCTTGTTTTTAAACATTTAGCTGGTTGTTTGTAAACTAGTTTTCATTGTTTCTACATATTTGAAACAAGGGGATGTTCGGCTGAATGTTTAAACATAGATGGATATAAAGTGTGAAAGTTGGATTATTTTAGTATTTTTGTTATAAAACTTGACTCTGGACATTGTTGGGACTGCAGTTGGGTGAGCTGAAACGTCTAGGAGAAACTTTTATTTTGATAGTTCAGGCGCAGAAGCTTATTTCCTGTTCCAATAAATCCTGTCACAGTCTCCGTTTCAGCAACAACTGAATTCTTCCAAAAGGCATGATGTGTAAAAATATTTGTGGGTAAGATTTGGTCATTTGGGGCGTCATCTAAATGTACCACCTTCTTACCACTTCCTGTTTGTAAGCTCATCTTAAAATCCGTCAGCTTGACGGTTTCCTACGCCTACCTTGCATTAGCTTTGGATAAAACAAAAAAAAGATGGTGAAATGCTAGGATTTGAAAATCCTTACACTGTGATGTCACACTATGAATTTGCATATTTTTTGCAGCGAGGGGAGAGAGCAGAGTGTGATGGTGACTTTGCAACATGGCTGAACGTGTTCTCTTAGCCTATCAGAAGTGAGGTGTGTACATATCATTAATAATGAGCAATCCTGGTGTTTTCAGCCCACCTCTGCATCTCACAACAGGAGCATCATAGCTTTTTTAAATTACTCGTGAGCAGTGTTGGGAGTAACGCGGTACAAAAGTAATTACTGTAATGCATTGCTTTTTGCTGTAATGTGGTAATGTAAGGCATTACAGGGAAAGAAAAGGGTAATATTTACTCGGTACAATTGTCAGTAACGCGGTAATTACAACGCATTTTCAAACCCAGAATCAGGATGTGGGTTTCCTAAAAATTAAAATTGCGGGTAGCCTGAAAAAAGATCCAGTATCCACATATATGACGTCATTTATGGACTCAGCTTTGCGGGCATTCTATGAGCAGAGAGGACGCAGCGGTAATGCCTCAAATACTCCAGCTGTGCAGTGCGCACGGCCGTTGTTAAATTCACAAAACCACTCCACCAAAACAAGGTCATTCGCTTGCGATCATTTATCAGCCGATATTCTCTGGTACTTCATGTAATTTTCAGCTGAGTTCATAATCTGTACCCCGGTGATTTCAACTCATTGCTGCTGGAGCGCAGCGCATATTAAGCTTTTTATTTTTTTGCTTTCGGTAGATCCCTTTGGCTGATTAGTTAGAAAGTAGGAAATCTAGGAAACAGTTTTTCTGGAAGACGGAGAAAACATGCAGCATGCAGGAATGTCAGAGAGAGAAAGGGCAGGAAATTATTCACATAAAACCAAGAAAACAAAACAAAAGTGCTTGAAAAGAAAAAAATGGCACATTTATCCCCAATACACATTTTTACCAGTGAAAAGCAATAATATATAAGCATTTAATATTTATACATGTGATAGAATCAGATCACCCCAGAAGTCAGTCCCACATCCAGGGCCGTATCGAGGCATTTGAGGACCAAGGCAAACATTGGCTTGGAGCCCCCACCACCTCACTCCCTGATCAGTTAATATAAGATGACAGCGTGTAGAGAGTAAAGATTGTTGTTGCTTTTATTTAATAAACAATCATTTTAAAGCACTGTTATTATATCTGACTGTTTTTAACAGCAACCCTAGCTCAGACACCACATCACCTTCCACATATATGTCATGAGCTCACTGAGCGTCACATGACCAGACTCATATTGAAGTTGTTTTGGTGAAAGTAACTTAAAGTAATGCAAAAGTAGTGTAATGCCGTACATTTTTAAATCAGTAATATTGTAATATAATGAATTACTTTAAAATGAGGGTAACAAGTAATAAATAATGCATTACAGTTTTGAAGTAACTTGCCCAACACTGCTCGTGAGGCATTGACTTACAGTAGAGAACACTGCAAATGTAAACCACAACTTAAAAAGGTTAAATGAAGAAAGGAGCAAAGCTTCAGGATAACCGCGCTCGTCTCAGACCAGTTTATTAGCGATCATCTAATGTTTCAGAGCTGCTCAGACCTCCAGTTGTTGCCCAGCTCTGACCTGCTGATGGTGCGGAACAAGCACGATATCTGATCACTTCAGAACTATCAGCCTTTGGTGGTGGTGCGTTCACTGACCACGACATGCTTCTGCTGCTTAACCGTTGTGCATTCAGGAACCATAACTAATCAGGTATGAGGAGTTCCAGGATGACCGGACCTGAGTCATGGCATTGGTGAAGACAGAAGCATTTGTTATGAGATGTTTTGCTGAACATGTGCAGGATTTCATACCCAGTTTCTGATTCCTGCTGCTCTTCTGTAGGACAATCATAAAAACTTCTCTAATGCAGGTCTACACCCTAACCATCGCTCCCACGGACCACAGGAGGGTTCACTACAGCAGGCCAGTCTAGAGTGGGCGATGGCCCGTCTCCAGCAGCAGAGCCTCTAGTCCAAGTCTGGTTGCTGCTGGGATGAAAGGCTGGTGGAGCCAACAGGACAGATAGACCTTGGAGAGGTCAGAGGTCATGGTGTGGGCGACTTCCTGCAGAATCGTCTGCTTCAACTTCAGCTCCTGACTGAAGGCAGCCAGCAGGACACCAGACATCTCCTCTGAAACAGCAGACAGACCATATTAAACTTATTGGTTCAGTGGATTCATCAAAGGTTGGAAGACAATTGAAGTTATTTTCTAATGTGTGTCCAGACATCTGCATCTCCACCGCCAAAGGAACCTGCTGCTCTCATTCCAGAGGACCACCGGGAACACCAACTCCTCCACAAGGAGTGGAGACATGGGCGATGACTGAACAGGAGGTCTTTGTTATCATCAGAGTTCTAGTTAGTGGATCACTCATCAGAACGTCTGAGGTCACAGCATGAAAGCATGCGTTTGTGATGGTAGCAGCATCAGATTGTTGCCATAGAGACAACTGGACCACCTCATAATCAGCATATACTCCTCCTGCTCAGTTTATGATGCCAGCTGTTGGTAGTTTTCCCCGTGGAAGCAGAACCCCGTCCAGGTGACGTCAGCGTGTTAGCTTCAGGTGGACCTACCAAACTCCCGGGTCTTCCAGCTGAGACACAGAGGGACACGTCTTCCTTCAGGACCAAACTGAAACTCCTCCAGCTGCAGAACGCCACGCTGTATCTCCACCAGGTGCTCCATCTTTTTCACCACAACAACCTGAGCAGAAGAAACACGTGGCTGGAGTGAACCAGGGTTACGTACTGAAAACTAAATGAGCAGAAGTCATTTATTTGACGTGAGATTGAATTAAACGGTCCCAGACCAACCGCAGCTTTCCACACACAGCAGCTGTTTATCAGGTTAGAAAAACTATTTTATTCTGAGACTCAACATATAAACTCCTGATTTATGGAACCGTGCCAGATGAAGGTTAAATGAAGCATCACCATTCTGTCAACGACATCCTGCAGTTTGAGGCATTCATCCTGCAGCTCCGCAGCTCCAGCCACCTGCTGCGCCTCAGCCGATGTGGACTGTGACGGTGGTGGACACGTGTCCAACACCAGCAGATCTCCCTGAGAACTGAAGACATAAACATCACCACAGCTGATGATCCCTCTGATTTATGAGTCTTTAAAAACCGACCGCTTAGAGCTTAATGTAGACAAACGAGTAAAGCTCCGTCTTATGATTGCTCTAAAGAAAACGAGTTATCTCCACCCTTACTCATCTGGATCCCAGAGGGTATCTAGTGGGGGGGGGGGGGGGGGGGGGGGGGCTAACTTAGAGAAAAATAACCTAAATAACAAACTCACTGCCTCATGTTGACGATACTTGCTGCCAAATTGAATCCTTCGTCGTTCAGCCTGTCCCACCTGAGCATCAGGTTGTGCCAGTCAGCGGCGTTGTCTCTGATCTTCCTTGCACTTCCTGTGATCCAGGTGCACCTCCTGTTTGATGGGGTCGCTGAGGTGTCACAAGAATCACCTAGAAACCGTGAATTTGTGTTATTTCTCCTTTCATGCAGTGAAACGGAGCACACACACACACACAGAAATGATTTGTTTGTCATACAAAGATCTGCTAAACTAGCTTGGGTAGACAGGTTTGTCCCCCTTAAAGAGACATTTGTCCTTTTGGTTTAACTTCACTTCACATCAGCCATCATCTGACCCGTTTGAGGAGTCATGCTGCAGCTGGTTGGGCCAAACTGAACCTGGACCACAGAAACATTAGCTGTCAGATGAGCTCACAAAGGTCAGGGGTATTAAAGGCCACGGCTCATAGACCGTCTCCAGGCAGCTTCATGGTCCTGGGACCTCAGCTGACAATTTTAATAAAGTAGGAGGTTGATGGGAATGTGGGCAACCACTAAGAACGTGGATCCGAGATGAGATCCACTCTCAGGTTGATCAGAAGGAAGAATCAGACAAACAATGCATCCAGGACTGTTGAAGCCTTTCTGATCCCACCATGAGGGGTTGAAGACCCAGGAGGATTCCTGGTGACAGAAAAACCCAAAAGAACAGACTAGAGATCACCAAAAACCACACTGACGAGCTTCAGGGAGAGCATCATTTTGATTGATGAGATGGAAATCGGCTCTAGAAACACTGTAGAAGATGGAGGAAGATCAGTTCTGTTCTGGACTCACTGCACCTGGACCAAGGATTCCTGAAAAGGTTCAGGGTCCAATCCCAGGACCACCAAGACCCTCTGGAGCCAAATCTACTGTCCAGAGTCTATCATCAGAAAACACAGCTAGGAACACCGAGAATGGATCAGAACCAAGCACTGGACTGTTCTGAACTGATCTAGATGCTGTTGAACATCTGTGATAAGAGCAGAAACATCTGGAGAAAGAACACCTGGAGCAGTGTGGCCACGAGTAATGGGACAGAATACCTGCGGACAGGAACGATCTAAATAAGTTGTCCTAGTGAATGTTGATGAGGCAGCTGGGTTCTGCAGGGTTTCAATTACAACCCTGCAGTAAAACATCCACACGTCATCAGAATGTTTTAACCCGGAAGCTGCAGGTTATTCAGACCTGAACAAAAACTACTTCACTAATCAAGAAGATCCTCACCTTCCATCTGATCCTGAAGTTCTCGCATAAAATCCAGCTGAATTATGCTGAGTCTTCTTCTTCGACGTTTGTGGGTGGTAGCAGTGCAGCATTACTGCCCCCACCTGGCCTGGAGTGGACACACGTTTATCAAACAATCAAAAAGGAAGTATTTTTATTGGATCTGCAGCTGTGGACACTCAAATTCCACTACGCGGAGATAGTGGGATTTTGGGGTTAACTGTAAACACTGATCCGTCCCGTCTGCCGTCCGGGTGGACACTGAGGTATTTATGTTCCTCCGCCACCTCCACCTTCTCTCCCAGGATGGAACAAGCATTTAGCATGTTCCCGTTTCTTCTAAAATCCGCAGTCATCTCATGTTTTTTCCGTTTTTTAACACACTATTGCACTAGAGGCCCACCAGTGATCTGTGTCTCACTACTTAATGACAGACTTATCTGACTCCAAATATCACTGGCCTTTTTTAGTGTTTATTTCCCCCCAGGATGCTAGTTAATTAAAGAAGAGCATTAGAACCACCGAAAGAAAAGTCAGAATTATTTTTCACATTTATTTTTTTCCATTTTATATTTAATTATGTAAAAATTGTATTTAAATAGCAAATTCATTTATTTATTTACCTCATTTGGTTTCATTTCTGCTCTGTGACCAGTTGGTGGCGGTAGTGCACCAAGTACTTTCGTGCCAGCCGCCATAAAACATCAAGCAGAAGAAGAATCTTTCATTAGAAGATGGCGGACGAAGCTGGTGAGTGTCGAGCACGTTTTGTAAGCGACAGTCTGTGTTTAATTTATTGCTAAGTTTGAACATAATTCTGCTGAGTCAGGGATTTTATTAACAACACGTCCACGTGCACGTACAAGCGTGTTTTACGCAGAAGGAATCGCAGTAAAAAATAAAATTCCTAAGTTGGTCTATGAGGAGGTTTGGCAGCGTCTGAGCCAGTTAAAACAAACAAATCCCTCCAGGTGTCCAACATGCTTTAGTAGTTGGGTTTAATTCAATAACAGAACTAAGGGTTTGCTCTGTGGACTCGTGTTTTCTTCATAAGCTCCAGCAGCGTTTAGTGTAGTTAACTTTGAGAGAGCGGGTTCTCGGTCAGTGGCCTGTTAGCTCCGCTAGCAGCCACGTGCGCTCCACCACGTGCTGCAGCTGCAGGCCACGTGGGCTCTATATCATTCATTTACAGTTTTCCAATTTTACCAAACTGCAACAGGGATTTAAATTTCTGTTCCTTCAGATAAAATACTTTCTTTCGGTCGTACTTTTTCCACTGAAAGGCCCTTTTGGGCTCAGAGTTGCACTGGAGCAGGGCCCATCTCCAGGGCCACCATGCTGCACGTGCTGCAAGTTTGCTGCTCCTGCACACATGAAGGTAATCGCCTGGATAAACCTGTTGAACACTCTTTTAAAAAGCAGGTGTAGTATGGTCCCTGGAGTTGGTGACCTTTAACCTGAGGTTACCTGGGACCAGTAACCTGTTATAATGCAATGTTAAGTTCCCGGTGGGCATGAAGACTCGTCTAGAATATTAGTGAACACTTGAGCAGTCTGGCTAGTGACAAAACACCACTTAGGGCCCGGTAGATTGTTGTTCTCTCTGAGAAAATCCTGGAATTCTGATTTTAGGAAGGATTTATGCTACTTTAGTTTGGTTTTTATTTTGCAGCATCCACAAAGAAGAAGAAGAAGTCGAAGAGAGTGGCTGAAGATGTTGGGGTTGGTGTGAATTTATTCAGCTTAAGATCTATTTGGAGATTCTCTTCCTGTTGAACAAACTGATGTTTTTATTCAACAGGAGATCCAAGAGAGTCAAGAGTTTTTAATCCAGCCAGACACCAAAGTCCCCACTTTGGACTCCTCCCAGTGGCCCTTGTTATTAAAGGTCAGGAACCCCTCCTCCTGTTTGTGCCTGCTGACATGTTTGACCCTGGTCATGTGATATGATGAACTGGTTTATCCATTCTCTGAGTGCTGTGGGCCTGTTGTGGTCTTTGCTTCTGCTCCGTTCTGGATCAGAGCTTCTCCTGCGGCTGCTAGAGGGGTCTCGGCGTTCTGCCTGACCACGACCAGTAGCCGTCTGGGGAATGACCCCACTTGACCACAGCCAAGACGACCTCCTATTCTGATCACATTGACTCTGTGCTATAAAGCATTTGTTGTCTGCTCTGTTTAGTGACATGTTTGTGGTTTCATCTTGTGTAATGAGTTGACTCGACTAGAACCCTGTTGGAATCGGCTCTAGCTGTCAGACAAGCGTTTCCCCTGGGAATTTTTCCGGTGGTGGTGCTGGGGGGAGAATGATTGACAAGTCTCACCTTTATGTTAATATTAAACACGTTCTACACCCCTGCTTAGTAGACTTAATGAAGTATTTTTAAGCCAGTATAAAAATGACTGAAACAAAAATTTACATATTTGGCATTATTGACCCATATCTTTGATTTAATTTGTGTTAAGAACATCAAGATGCATTACAGTGAACATTATAATAAAGTAAATGTTTCTAGTGTAGAGAGGAGACAACCCATAGAAGCACTGATTTGATCTCATTTCAGAGAAAAATAGAACAGATCAGGTGCACCTAATAAATAAAATTACTAACAAACTCAGGAATCTGTTTCTTTGCTTCATTGTTCTGGTGCTGAAAATATCACTAATGCAGATCAAAGGAGATACACAGATGAATGCACCTCTTATTTATTATTTGTAAATTAGTGGGTGTGGTTTACATCAATGCATTATTTTAAATCTGAAATTGATATGGATTGATCAGAAGTTGATATGTGTATTGTTTATCTGAAAACTATTTACAGAGCAGCCTCAGAACTGAGATTAAATATTTTTGATCACAATAGTAAAGAAACCATTACAGAACAAGTTTTTCAGTAAAATCAGAACATTAATGTTTAAGTGCATGAATAAATGCATCTGAACTCATGCAGTAGGAACTAGGAAATATGAAATACTAGAATTTATTTTAATTTGATTAAACTGATTTTTTCCTCACATTGTTGGCATTTTTCCCACCCACGGTTAAACAAAACTATGTTGACTGAGGTGTGTGTGTGTGAGTGAGAGAGTTAAAATAAATACATTAAAAAAAAAACCTGAGCGGAGGCAGTGACAGACGCATGCACAAGCCGTTTTCAGCTCTGTCTTGTCAAATGCACCGCGTACGTTATGAAAAAAGTTACTTTAAATATTCAACCGAAAAAGAGGCGAGCTGAAGAAAACCTAGAGTGCACTGAAGAAAGGTGAGCAACAGTGAAGCAATCAGAGAGATCCGTTACTGTGTGTGGATGGGCCGGACGGACTGAGCTCCCTGCAGACTTATGTGTAGGGAGGGGCGGGCACTCTATGTGGATGGCCAATCACAGCATGAAGACAGTCAGTTACCCAATGAGGATTTTCCTTCAGCACACTTAGATATTTACGAGTTTAATGCTCGTATTCGTCAAAAATGCTTTATCCGTACCGGATACTCGTCTGAAATGAGTATCCGGCTCATCCCTAGCTGTAACCTCCCTGCCCTGCCACCTCCTCCTTGCTGCCTGCCGGCTGTGATCACAAGCAACAGAGTAGTTCCCGCTGCTTCTTCGGGAAACGGCGCAAAAAAAAAAAATTTAACTTGGGATCTTGTAGGCGTGGCGCTGGGATTTCAGCTGTGGCAAGCCGCCACAGCTACACCTATGTAAGGGAAACTCTGCAGACCCACTAGCTGAGGTGGTTTGTTTTGCTTCCTGCAGAATCTCCATAAGCTGAACATCCTTACATCTCATTACACCCCCATACCCAGTGGCAGCAACCCGCTGAAAAGAAACATCAGCGACTATGTCAGGTACTTTCACTAGATCACAGCTCTGACTGAGCTCTATCTACAGTGGTGACCATGCATCTCCTCTCATCAGGTCTGGATTCATCAACCTGGACAAACCAGCCAACCCTTCGTCTCATGAGGTGGTGGCGTGGATCCGGAGGATCCTGCGAGTGGAGAAGACGGGCCACAGCGGGACTCTAGACCCAAAGGTCACTGGCTGCCTCATCGTCTGCATTGACCGAGCCACCAGACTAGTGAAGTCCCAGCAGAGTGCTGGTGAGTGCCCAATGCATTAACCCCAAAAGCTTTAAGAAGTGGGCAAACATTTATTAGCTAATGTACATGCTGTGTGCATGTCAGTAGCCACTGGTGGACTCAAATCTTTTGAATATGTGGCCTACATCCAACAGGAAGTCATCCATTTAGGGTCAAAGATGCCATTTGCAACTTGTTGGTTGCATAAAAACAAAAAGCTTCTGTGTGTTACAGGTAAGGAGTATGTGGGAATCGTTCGGCTGCACAACGCAGTAGAGAGTGAACACGTGCTGGCCCGGGTAAGTCACACCCTGTATTTGCTGCCTTTCCTCTGACCTGACCAGCTGATGGTCCTGAATGTCCTCTGCAGGCCCTGGAGACCTTGACCGGAGCTCTATTCCAGCGTCCTCCCCTCATCGCTGCAGTGAAACGTCAGCTGAGAGTCCGAACCATCTACGAGAGCAAGCTGATCGAGTACGACCCAGAGCGGAGGCTGGGTGAGACACTCATTTTGACGCCGAGGTCATGAAGTTTGATGCTCTTCTGCTTTAAATCAAGATTTTCTTCTGAACAGGCATCTTCTGGGTCAGCTGTGAAGCAGGAACTTACATCAGGACTTTGTGTGTCCACCTGGGACTTCTACTTGGAGTTGGAGGACAGATGCAGGAATTGAGGAGGGTCCGGTCTGGAGTTCTGGGCGAGAAGGTCAGTGTGTGTCCACGTGCATCTTGCTGTTGTGATGGTTTATTTTATCACAGCTGGTTAAGTGATCGCAGTAGGAACCACGTTCAGTTCTCTAGTCCAAAGTGTTGAGTCCAGCTCTGCTGCTTAGTGCCGAGCTGTTAATTAGACTTTGGAAGAGTAAGCGCAGCGGAGCAACGATGGGCGTGCATGTCCGCCTGTTAAGACTCGGTGCTGCTAACATAACATCTGCTTTCAGGACAACTTGGTGACGATGCACGATGTTCTCGATGCTCAGTGGCAATTTGATCACAATAAAGATGAGACTTATCTGAGGAGAGTCATCTTCCCTCTAGAAAAGCTGCTGGTGTCATACAAACGGCTGATGATGAAGGACAGCGCGGTGAGTCTTCCTCTAGTCGGGGACAGCGTGTGACCGTCTGTGAACGGAGAACAATGCAGTGTGGGTTAAATCTGTCGGAGTGAACTCATGAGTGCCTCTACAGGTGAACGCCATCTGTTACGGTGCCAAGATCATGCTTCCTGGTGTCCTCCGGTACGAAGACGGCATAGAGGTTAACCAGGACATCGTTGTCATAACAACCAAAGGCGAGGCCATCTGTACAGGTGAGTCTGTTGTGGCGTGCTGATTTTGGTGTGAAGCCACATGATGAGTTGAGTAGATGCAGCAGCTTTCGGGCAGTGATGACCTGCTATCTATCACCCTTTTCTGATGGCCTCCAGAAGACCTCACTAAACTCTAGAAGGGGTTAAAATCACATTAACCACATCCTCCTCCTCCTCTAGCGGTAGCACTGATGACCACAGCAGTGATCTCCACCTGTGATCACGGCGTCGTGGCGAAGATCAAGAGGGTGATCATGGAGAGAGACACGTATCCACGGAAATGGGGTCTGGGTCCAAAGGTGGGTGTCGTGTTATGATAGTAAATGTACAAATCTGATTTTTTTATTTATTTATTTTTATCTGCCAATAAACAAAAATAATTCCAATAACTTTGTAAATAAAATTTGAGTAGAAGAAACTGTTATTTATTTATTTATTTTTAATCAGGCATGTAAGAAGAAGATGATGATCAAACAAGGACTCCTAGACAAACACGGAAAGCCAAACGCCCAAACTCCTCAGGACTGGAAGGACGACTACGCAGACTACAGGTAGTGCTGCTGTGGGCGGGGCTTCGGCTGCAGACGGTTATCCCTTTTTGAGCTGGTGTGCCCTCTGAGGGAGTAAGTCTGCTAGAGAAACTCTCGTGTTGGAGCGCCTGTACTCAGCATGTACTGTCTGCTGACGGCGCCGCTCAACAGAGTACAGAGTCGTCATGAGCTGCGACGATGTCAAAACATCAAACAGTGACTGACATTTTGTTTTATTTTTTGACAGTGTTACTGTTAAGGAAGAACCAAAAGACACCCCTGCTAAGGTAATACTGTCACATAGTGCTACCCCACTGGTGGTGATGGTGAAAACTGACCTACAGTGACCTCTGACTTGTAGAGAAAACGGGAGGCTACAGAGTGTGACAGTGAAACCCCGGAGACTCCTTCTGCAGAGGTAAAGAAAGAAAAGAAGAAAAAGAAAAAAGCAAAAATGGAGGAGGAGCCAGAAGTGAAGGAGGAGGAGCCAGAAGTGGCGGAGGAACCTGACACACAGGTGATTGAGCGTTTCCTGCATTCTCGTTCAACTTTTAGGTTCCTGGTGAATAATAAACTTAAGTGATGGCTTTTCTTCTGCAGGTTGAAAGAAAATCAAAAAAGAAAAAGAAAAAACTAAAGGAAGCCGATGCGTCGGAGTAAATCACTCGCTCCAAACACTTGTAACCATTTCCATCCTCTAAAGTCGACCTCAGCGAATCCCAGTGAAGAGCATCTTTGGCTAAATGGAACGTCCCCATCACTGCAAATCATCTGATCGATAAAAGCTGCAGCAGTAGAATGTGTTTGGGAAACCATGATAATGCAACTTTAAAAAAAAAATACCTTCTGAAGCAGCGTTGCCTCGTTTTAAAATGGCTTCTGATTCTGTAAGTGCTGCTAGACAGCAGGAGAAATGGGGTCAAAAGTAATAAGTTTGTAGATTTGGTTTTCAGCCTTCTGGTGTTTGGCATGGAGGCAGAAAGCATGCTCACTTGTAAATATCTAACTTTTTTATTTCAAAATAAATGTATTCTGTGTATAAAACGGGGATTAAAGTTCTCTCATTTCTAAGGTTTGGATGTCTGTGAACATTACAGAATATTCAGATTGGTGTAAAGAACATATTAAGAGGTCATGATCTAAAGCTGTTCAAAGGTATAAAACTGCCCTGGGCCTAAAGCCCTGCAGATATATTTAGTTTCTATAAATACCAACAAATAAAAGCAGCTGGATTCTACTTTGTTCCTTAAATTGAGTCACGTTCCTGTAGCTCACACGTTCAACAGGGAGCTCTGCCAGCTGATTGGTTCTTTAACAGGGAGCTCTGCCAGCTGATTGGTTCTTTTGGTAACTACTGTAGTTCTGGTACTTACCTGCTGATGCATCCATCCTGCTATCGCTGTAGTCTGTTCACAATGGTTTAAACGTTAACACATATGAACATGTTTAGATTATCATACATAGCTACGAGTCTGTTACTCTACTTCCCCCCCCCCCCCCCAAAATGCACCAAATTGATGCGTTAAAATATAAAATGTCCAGTAATTTTTTTCGTGGGGGGCATGACACCCCTGGAGTAATATTTATCTTTTTTACCTCAGAGAAATCTCAACACCCAACACTGTGTATGTGACTGGTTATCAAAACCCGAATAGTGGCTGCGTGTAAACAATGTGAGTGAGGGCACCCCCCCCCAAATTTTCAGTCATGAGAATTCTTTGCTTCAATCTCTGGTATAAAATCCAATGGCATTTTTTCCTGCAATCGATGTCAGGTTTTTAGTCTGGAAACAAAACAAAACATGATGGCAAGAAATTCTGTTGGCCTAAACTGTCCTTAAAAGAAAAATAATTCTTTTACGAAACAGTTTGGTAGAGAAAACTGCACCCCTACACTTTGGCCTTCTGGGTTTGAGAGATGATTCATTAGTGAGTACAGCCTTGTGTGTGTGTGTGATAAGTTATTTGGTAATTGATAAATTTCCATATTTAATCTTATTAGAAATCGATTAACCCAAACATTTCACCAGCATTTGAATAAACATCCCTCGCTTTAATTTGAAAACCAAAGCTGCCGGCGGGGCATTCTGGGGCTGTCTGAAATAACAACTCCCCAGATTTTATATGAACAAATGCAAATCAATCTGTTCTAAAATCCTTCCATTTGGAGCAAAATTGGTTTCATAAGACATTTAGTGTTCTTTGTTTTAATGTTTAAGAAATCTGCCTAGATAGTAGTTGTAGTGCCACTAAACGTACACCAGGGGGCAACATTTGCCCATCAATGTTAACATTCACCTGCATCTGCTAATTTAGTCTTCTGGAAAACATAATCCTATCAAGTTTGGTCAAGTCTCAACTTTTCCTAGATTCAGAGGTCAGTTCGCACTCATTGTCTCAAAACACCTGCGAAAGCCTTTAAAGAGCAAGACCCAATCCCAATACTCTGTGGTCTTCAGCAAAATGCACTTGGAGAAAGTGTGCAGTAAGGCTTCGAATGTGTGGTACACAAGCGTGCAAATAATTGCCTAAATGAGACCAGAAGCATTGCGCAATCGATCGCAACGCATTCCTGGATGCTGTGATACTTTTTTGGAAAATTCAAACAAGCCAGTTATTTGAAATACATTTAAATTAATTGCTGCTTTGTCCAAAACTGTCACTATCAACTAATCATCCTAAAACTAATTTAATTAGAAAATACATATTTTCAGAAAAAGGACTGGAGACTTTTCTCCTGCAGCAATGGATTGCGGGTAATACACTTCACCCAAGTCTGCATCGATGTGGACTTGGGTGTAGAGTGGATCAAGGGTGCAAAAGGGGTGTGATCAACTTTCGCACTTGAGAATCAGGACACCCTACGCACTCGCACCCCTGATTGGGATCACACAATTGAAGGGCACGAGTCTTACTCTACTCTCATTTCGTGTTCAAAAATGCTATTGCCTGGCAGAGCCACTAACAAATACACACACACACACACATAGGCTCTTAATGACATTGTGACATACCAGCTACTGTCTGCAGGGCCGACTCTGGGTAATTTGGTGCCCAAGGCGAGAGTGCCCATTTGCGCCCCCCCCCCCCCCGTGCCTGCACGCCTCTCACCCAAACCCGAGTCCACCCACCCACCACACATTGGGAAAAAGTAACTCCACAGTGATTCCTTAGTTACTAATTTTTTATTTTAAATATTCACACAGCAACTCTTTAAAGTCAACAGCCTGAACAATAAATACAAGCTTGGAAGATAAGTAACCTGAGAATATTACAATAACCAACAACTCAAAATGTTGTGCAAATGTCATTGGGGAGGATGCAAAATCAAAAGCAGCATTAAACTGTGCAATCAAAAGCAAAACTCAAACATCAGTGTCATCATAAAGAAAGTTCTACTTTCCATTTTGTTCTACTGCTGTGGCCAGTCAGCAGGATCCATGGGGCCAGCAGCTCATACATGTTCACAGACATCTGTTGAAGCTGATGATGATGTCTCTTCAGGCTGTTGGATTGGAGCACTGAGTCTGCTGGTGTGGTGTTCTTCTTCTGTGAGAAAATTAACACACACACACACACACACACACACACACACACACACACACACACACACACACACACACACACACACACACACACACACACACACACACACACACACACACACACACACACACACACACACACACACACACACACACACACACACACACACACACACACACACACACACAAAGCAACTTAACCCTCTGATGCATGAATTACTTTTTTTTTTCCCTTGTCCTGTCTGGCTGTGAAGCAAACAGAATTGATGTCTTAATGCTGGTGACAAGCCTTACAGATTTACTCTCAGGTGGAGCATCAAAGCGTCTGCTTTTAATGTCACGCCTGATACTTAAAACTTTATTGTTATTGTTTTTGAATGCTTTGTAATTCTGACCAGACACGGAGTCAGAGGTGAAAGAGAAAGGAAAAGACAAAAGGTGGGGAGAGAGGGGGGACGGGGGTGGGGGGTCCACAAAAATGAACAAGAGTCTGCTTCTAGACCTGCAGAAAGAGACAAGAAAAAAAGCAACAACAAAAAAATGGGCCACACAACAATACAGCAAGATCAAGCTATCACTGCGTCAACTTGATGAATATAAAATCAACATTGTTTAACTGAACAATCACGATAATAAATCACAGTGCATTAAGTGCCCACCATAGTCTTAAGACCTGTGTTGAACGTGCCCAAGCCCATACTTTTGAGAGCACCATGTGAGCACCTGTGTGTGTACACGCGCTTGTTTATGTAAGATTTCTCTATAGGAGCGTCTAACAGAGAGTGTGAGGGACCACAGATCCCCCCCCCCAAAGATGCGCAGGAGACGGGGGGAGCTCCAAGTGCCAGAGATCCAGGCGTTGCCCCAGAACACAGGAACCCCAAGGAGACTGGAACCAGAAAGGCCCCCGCCCCCCTCGAGAGGCGCAGAGGATCGCCCCGGGGGGCCACAACCAGCAGCCGGCAGAGTCCCGGGAGATATCAGTGGCAAGCCCGCAGGCCCGCCCGCAGCCTCCCACCCCCTAGCCGGCCGAGCCCGGGACCCAGCGACCCGGGACCCAGCAGAGCCCAGGGACCTAGACCCCACCAGGCCGCCACCGGGATTGATCAGGCAGACGCCAAAAATCTTAAACCCCCTGACCCGGGAGCCACGAACACTCAGGCAGACCAAGGCACCGCACTCCACACCAGGTGTGGCAGGGGGAGGGGAGACGAAGATCTATATCATCAAAAGAAGTCCCAGGAGAGGGGAGGCATGGATGCATGAATTACTTAAGAACAGTGCCACTTTCACATTCAATATTCCTCAGCCATGTGCAGTGATGCTTTTCATTATTTTTAATGTTACTGGACTTTTTTTTTATTGATCTTTTTTTAATCTGTTCTATGAAAACATGAATAAAATTATGAAAAACAGGTGGAAGTGAGTACATCCATGGGGAATATTTGAAAAAATGTATGTCTCACTCTCAGGTGCTCTTCAGCATCAAATAAATATGAGGAAGAAGATCTGGTGATCTGAGGCACTCTGAGGTTTTCATTTATTAAACAAGGAAACGCCGACGCGTTTCGGTACCACCTTCTTCAGGGCATAAAACTTTATGCCTTAAGATGACTCACTAATGTCACAAAAACTAATGTCCATCTTTTTTTTTTTTTTTTTACTAATTTACAGCCTAATTGACAATAACATCTTAAGGAGACAATTTCAGATGTGCATGTTCTCATTATTTAATATTCTCAATGCTAAATCAATGCTGCACTGACTGTGCCAAAAACACGTGTCTGGATTTAAATAAATTAATTTTGAATATCGATATATGTGATAAGCCGTTTAATTTGAAAAAGTCCGTTTCTACTGCTGACTACAAATAGCCTAACAAGTAACTTACTCACCTGGTTCTAGATGCTGAGACTGTAGCTCAGTAAATGTGCTGCGTGATGCCTGGATAGAAGACGCTGCAGCGTAAACAAGAAAGAGACGGCATAAGATGTCATGCTGTGTTTAGGCAGTGCTCACTGCCCGCCGGGCCCGGTGGCAGCGGGGGAGTCCCTGCCACGGCTGCGGCGGTGCCGCCCGCCCGATGTGTCGGACAACGTTGAAATTTTGCTACACACACACACCTAACGTTCTTCTGATAAACATTGTATGTGTACTTAAAACTTGAAACAAAGTTCATAAAAAGGCTGCAATCATACTCCAAAAAACGGTAAAAAAAAATCTTACATTCTTCATCATCACAGTGAGACTCAACAGGTGTAGAAGACAGTCCCGCCCCCCGTGGTGTTAACAGGTGCCTGTCGTGGCTGCAGATATTGTCTCACTGCATCTGGACACGACGATTCAAAAGTAAAATTATTTGGTTAAAGTTACAGATACTGTATTGTGTATGTAAACAGCTAGCGAGGGTATTGTGTATGTAAACAGCTAGCGAGGGTATTGTGTATGTAAACAGCTAGCGAGGGTATTGTGTATGTAAACAGCTAGCGAGGGTATTGTGTATGTAAACAGCTAGCGAGGGTCCGTC